CCCACACCATGATGAATATGCTGCTCCAGGTTCGAAAATTCAGTGCATGTGGTTCAAATGCTTTACCAGCAGTTTGCCAGCAAAGTACCCGTCTGTCATCAGAGGTCAGACCAAAGCGACACTCATCAGAAAAAATATATAGGACCAATTGTCATGAACTGTCCAGTTCCAGATCCTGTTGACCCTAGTTTACTTTACGTTGCCTGTTTTGTAACGATATAAGAGGTTTCAGTCTTGCTACCCTGCTGTACACTCTCTGAGCATGTAACCGACGCCTAGCAATTTTCACAGACACATTCTTATGTGTGAAATTGTTCCACTGTGTTGTCAACTGACAAGCAGTGTCGAAGTTTGACAACCTGGACATCAAAATCAGTCGTCGGTCTTAACGGCCAGTATTTTTTCTTGGACGACCCATCAGAGACAATTTGTCTCTTGATCCAGTGTTTCTATACCGAGACCAGACCCTCTGCACGGTTCTGACTGAACAATTCAATTGTATTGATATTCTGACATTGCTTATATTCCACCTCTTCAGGTTAATAACTTGCACCTATAACCGTTAGATAATTACCTGTATCTTGCCATACTGGAGGAAGACAGGAATAACATTTGCTGTACATGTTCAAGACCAACAATACAATTCCATGGTATAGCGGTTTTATACTCATTAGTCACATTATAAGTAGACCAGGCATTATAAGTACCCAAGATCTGCCTACTTTCATTACTCTGAGTTAGGGGGTGACACTTCTTTTGTCCAGTGTGTGTACTTGCTACGGTTAGGCTTCAGAATTAAAAGTTTATGGTTATTATGACGCCGTCTCAACGATTTCAGAGCACAATTCATTTGTCCGTATTGACGTATGAGAATGAAATCAGAGCCACTTTTACCGGGAATATTTTCGTCTTACAGTCATAAAAACTCAAGACCTGACGACATGGAGATACTACGGCATGCTCTCAGTGCATTGACGCGAGGTCATGGATTTAGAGATGTACCAAAGGCAGAAAGGAAAAGGCATTAACGAGAGACGTCAGGTAATTTCATGACCACTGCTTATTGTAAAAACATATTTATTCGAATTGTTAAGTCACTGTGACAGCCATCTATGTCAACAATGATGTTATCCCCAACGAAACAATTTTCTAATGCAAGCTCAGCTGATTCTCTCACAAAACACAATTCTGTAAACATGATAAGGTTTCCTTGTGTGTTTTGCAGAATCTAAAGACGGTTTTAAAAGAGGACGATGCAGATGACGATGGGTATTTAACTTATGTATTCACCCGACGAAGACCACCTTCAGAAGGCTGAAAACCATTTTATAATACGTGGAGAATGGAAAGTTTGAATAGCGGCTATCAAGTCACTGCCTCTATGTTCCACAGGCAATATTATGCACTAGAGTAAAGTGAAATTTAGCATTTGACTGAATTATAGTTAAAAAATGCTCGCAACATTTTATGTTATTAATTGCTTAGATTTACTTTATTTTGTTGTCCACCTGACATGTTCTAAAATAAAAATTTAAGTTTTTCAAAGCGTCATTCTGGCCTACACGATAACTCAAGCTCAGCTTCATTTTAAATACATGTAAAGAAAATCGCACAATTACAGGTTCACTTGCAGAATTTTTCTTTTCAGTCAGTCTTTACTAAAAACAAAACTAAAAGGTATTTTATGTAAATATTTTTTTCATTGATTGGAAATTCCAACCCTCATAGTTTCAAATTTGTATGTGATTCACTGTACAAGAAAAAGAAAAAATAATTTGACTTTATGAAAAAAGCAAAAAATCTGCCAAATTGGCATACATTAAGTTAAAAAAACAATATTTAACAAAGTTTATGATATTAAAAAAGTTAACTTAAACGAGAAAACTATGAAATGTCATGGCTGGCTATTTTTTCAGTTGCTTTTAACCCCATTTTGAAACTTAATAACTCCATAAAATACATGAATATGAAGAGAAAACACAAGTGAGTTTTGAAATGTCTAAAAGTCACACAAAAGATCATTTTGCTTTTTCAGAACAATAAACTTGCTTACAATGCTTTTAACGCTTGTGTCATGCACTCACTGATACACTTAATGTGTAAAATGATATCTATCACTTTTGTATAAAACCCCTAAAATTTGTATAATACTACAGTCTAAACAAAGCAATTAAAACTTAGTTTTATGTCTTACTTCACTTGCTGAGTTCTATCAAATATTTCGGTCCCAATGCAGTGTCATTGTATTTCCTTTACCACACATTATCAATATCATCCTCACTGTTATTGTATATTAACAACATAAGCATCATCATTCCAAATCCTGATAAGAATCCTTACTGTCAATGCATATCCTGAATTGTACATTCTAATTCACATCACCAATGTCTTCCTCATCCTCACTGTCAAATCATCAATATCCTCATCTTCAATTTATATTTTTCATTTATATATCCCCATCTTCAATGTCAAATCCTATGCCTAAGTAAAACATCCTCATCTTCATTGTATTATCTCTTTTATATATCCTCATCCTCACTAGAGGAGTCATCCACAGCCTGCATGGGTTCATCTGTCATCAAAAGACCTTTTTCATAAAGGGCATTGGCTATTTCAGTCTGAAACATATTCACAAATTTAAGATTAAAAAACTAATCCAAGTAAAAGTAAAAAGATAAGTTACTGATAAATTGCAAATGTATTCATTGCAAGTTTTGTAGATTTACAAAAATAATATAATAATTGAGAAACTTAAAAATGGAACACATTCAGCTTCTTTATCAGCTATACTAAACAATCAAATATGTATCTAAAATGTTTTTGTAAATGTCATATTTCTGAAGGTTTTATAATAGAGCAAACTACTTTAATCCCCACCTAAATCGAAGCTATACATAAACTTTTTATTAATTTCAAAATTTTTCTTCCAATTTTCTTACAGTACTAAAGCAATAAAATAAGGGTCATGGTAACCACATGAAATACATGCAGATAACTTTATTTTGCTACATTAACAGCAAGTGAAATAGAAAAATAAAGTTCAAACTACAGATCACACAATGTGTATACAGTCTCACCTTTTCAGGTAATGTTTTCATTGGCAAGCTGTCTACTGTAACAAAGTCAGGATAGGCAAATATCAGGTGCTCAACTGCGGGTGCAGCCTGGAAATAATAGCAAAGTTTAGTCAAATTTGGCTGAGGAAAATGTTAACCTTCACTGTATTAAGCAAAGTTAATCTCTGATTAAATTTTGATTTGTTTAAAGTTACCCAGTTATTTGACTGAAAGATAATGAAAATGTCATAATACTCTTACACCTATGTTAGTTTAAGGTGCAGCTGTGTGGTTACTTATAATATACTAATATACTAAACTTTACCTAATCTGCTATATTTTAGGTGACTACTTAGTTGAACATTGCCTTTTACCACACCTTATAAACAGTATCCAATATAGACGGAAATTAAAACCATGTTTAATCTCACCAAAAACTTGTTCAATTGGCCATGCATATAACATAAGGCCCCACATCAGTCCTTTTTAAATCCCAGGTTAAACATTCTTATCGACTGCTCACATCAGTAAAGCAACACTTATGTTTATAGTTCATCATGCTCAAAGCAAAATTTTAAATATTTCTTACTTTAAATTCATGTTTTATAACTTACGTCTGCACTTATTTCAAAGAACTTGGGTTCAGTATCATGGTACAGCCGGGCATTCTCCAGGGTGTAGTAAATCCTCACCTGATCTTCTTCCCCTACCAGCCTTTAACAGTAAACACAGCATTAAGTATCAAAGACCTCTGATTAATTTATATGATAATACAAATTAATAGTGAACAAAACACTGTCTGTCTCTTCTTCTATTTTATCAATATGTGTAATTATGGTAAAATATCCATGAACAGCAGACATGTTTAACAACTATCATAGTAGATGTTTTAAATTTTAATTTACAAACTGTTTACACCATTAAATGATATACATAAAAGTTAAACAAAAGACATCGTTTTATCGTTTTGATAATTGATGATTAAAAATAATTCAACATCTTTTGCAGAAAAACATCATATATGTAAGCACAGTCCTCCAAATATTACTGTACATATTGTGTATTGCCAAATAAAAGCTTTTCAAACTACAAAGTGTATATTCTAAGTTATTTGTTAGTCGTGAAATTAATTGTACATTATTTACCTTAAAACACCTTTCCTTATAATCTTGATGGGTGTGTCTGGTTCCAGCTCCACAGCCCCTCTCACTGTATTCAGTTTGGTGTCCCACCTTTCTCCATTACCATGGATACTACACATTTCCTCAGCTGAAATATGGTCAATAATTGCCTGCACTTTGTCATAAGTGCAAATTTCTATAACATCACAAAAGGATTTAAAAAATCAGAATCTGATACTTCAATTGATATCTATTGATAATTTCAGAGTGTATAATTAAGATAGTTGTAAAGATGTCCCACCTTTAGTTAGTACTGGAGGCAGTGAGTCATGGACACATTTCTTTCCCATCTGATCACAAGCAGCATCCACAGGGGCATAAGACAAAAGCTTTGTCATTAGCTGTTCTATCTTTCTCAGAAAGGCCTTTCTCTCTGGATTGTCCTAAAATCAAGATGCATATACTTCAATTACAACACAGCTCATGTCCAATGTGAGTGACTGAAACAAATGAAAGCAGTTTCAGTGAATTTTAAATGAAAACTTTTTAATTGTATAAATCTAAATTTAGGACATCTTTAATTTTTATATTTTCTTTCAAATTGTCAGCCAAAAGTTATACTCTTGGATTAAAGGCAGAATTATATGTAACTAAAAGTGAGACTCACTGAGTCTTGGTTGACCACACCCATATAGCTGAGATAGTCTCGAGGTAGTCCTTTCCTAAACTCCAAATCCTCTTCTATAGCCAGTTGCAAGGCCGTGGGAACTATCTGCAAGCCAGAACAGAACAGAACCTAACTCATCTTTAATTAACAACAATTGCTGAATATACAGCTGGGATAGAATGTATAGATTTTATATCTGGACTCACAGATGACATTACTTTATGTCAATTTGGGTATCATAACAGTGTGGTCCAAAAAGAGATTAACAAAAAAACATCTTCATTATAAACCATCATTTAAATTATGAGATATTGTCTAGCAAGATGCCATGATGCCAGAGGAAAACTAACTGCAAGAAATAAGCAGACTACAGAGTGTCCAATAACCAACTACTGGGATGTAACTGGGTCAGAATGGTAAAAATACAGAATCTTTTATTATCACTTTTCTAACATGAATAAGCTCTGATGGATGCAATGAATATGCCAAACCATTCCTGTTAAGGAAATGTAACTTAAAACAAATATTTTTAGCTCAAAATTTTAGTACAAAATTTTAGCCAAATACTTAACTTGTTAATTAAAATGTAAAACATCTTATCATTTTTCGTATCAAATTTATCCCTGATTTGGACCAATATTTTGATTAAGCTACAATTATCTAGCTGTTTGGCTAAAAGAATGGAATGCAACAGTATGTTATAGATGCCATGACAGATAATACATATAACAAACTCAGAATGATAAAGAAATTATCCATGAGTGAGCCTAGAGTTTATGGAAAATCAAACAAAATGAAAATAGAGTCAATTTCTCATCGTTCTCACCTGTTCCATGAGGTCACCCCAGGAGTTCTGCTGGAATGTAGACACTGTCACATGTAAGGAGTGACTGTCCGTTGGCGTGTCAGCCTAGAAAAAAATGAATCCAAGAATTAATATTCTCATGCTAAAAAAATAATTTAATAATTCAACACTCATCCAAATAATTCATCTAAAAAGGCCAATATACATCATGTCCTACCTGATGTATCACCCCTCGTGGGAAGTACAACAAATCCCCAGGTTCTAACATCACATCTAATATGGGCTCTCCAACATCTGCACTGGTGAAATTACCTGAAAGAAAATAACCAAGAAAATATAGTCACCTGAAAGCATGGTTAAATCACATAATGAAACCTTTAATGAAAATACAGATTGCATTTAAATAATGCAAACTATCTAAAAATAGGTTTCCAAACATTTATTAGAGAGAAAAAACTACAGCAAGTTCATCTTGTTGCTGAATAAGTATTTGAGTTTCTTTGAAAATTATCCAATCATAATTTTTCTACTGCACACGTGATTAGAAATTTCAGTCAAATAAGATAGGAATCTTTCATAAGCACACTGAACACAATGCTGTGCCCCCTTCTACTGTTTATTTCTCCTTTACTTTACCTACCACTAGAATATCTGGCGAGTACTTCTCCATCATTTCTACATAGGCAGATAAGAACAAAAATTAGAATAAAACAAGTACATATTAAAAAACTACTGTTGACAACATATTTTAAAATTGAATAAAGTCACGAATTATGTACATATTGCTTAAAAAAACTTTAGATTATTTGCCAAAAATGTATACAATTTAATTAATTTTTCCTAAATATACAGCAAAAGACAACAAATTCAATATACTTTAAATCATGTGTTGGACTTGATGCCAGCATACACACCTGGGACTGTACAATCTCCAGTGTTTCTTTCCTTCAAGTTGCAGGACAAAAGCTTCAATATCATCCCAGTGTGGTGCAAAACCTTGAGATCCAGCAGGAGTTAGATAACTAAGGAACACATACAATGAAAATTGTAATGTAAAAACATTAAGTTTCCACTGCAATCAGCACATCCATACAAAAGGCAAATTATTTTAACAATATTGCTCGATAAGTTTTTATTGGATTTAAGATATGGTATACATGAGCATCTAATTATCATCTTAATGCAATATTTACATCTTTTCAACTGTGATTAAAGTGACTGCAGCAATATCAGATGGTAAAATTTGCATATCATCAACAACCAATCAACCCAAACACTCCAGTAGTGCAGGTAAAACTTACATATTAGCACCAACCATGCAGCCAAAATACTCCTGTAGCACTGATAAAAACTTCCACACATTATGGCTATATGTCTGAGGATTCAGCAGCCTCACTGAGCAACCATTCTAGAAAAGGAAACAAAATTATCTTCATTGAGATTAATGGTGATTATATGAAGACTATATTTATGCATTACATGTTTCTCTCAATTCAAAGGTTTTTCAGCTGACCCAAGGTAATTAAAACACAACAAAACATCAAAATCATTTGTTAAAAAATCCAAACAATTCACTTATTTTGTTTATAACAATGTAAACATCTACCTGGAAATAATCCCACACTATTGGGGCATAGGCCCTTCCTGGGGGGTTGTGTGTCTCCCTCTTGCCATTGGAGTATGTTGTCACATCAATATTTTTTCCAAAAATAATATTTTCCTGAAATTATAGAAATTGCTGATGCATTTTCAAACATATTCTCCCTAAAAGTTTTTCTTGTAGCTAAGCGTATACACTTTTTACCATTAACCTTGACCTGATAATCATGCATTCAAATTGTCATTTTTTAAAGTAAAAAATTCCCAACATTACAACTAAATGTTTTCAAATATCATGCATGATGTTTTACTTACAAATTTTTATATACATATGGCATTGTTTTACTATATTTGACTTGGTCATATCTTCCATACCTTACGTAAAATCTTGTCTAGTTCTTCCGTGCTGAACCATCCATCATTATAACATGGCATGTGTCGCTTGACAAGCAAGGGCTTTTTCTCCCACAATTCACTGGAAAAGAAAGAAATGACTAGAACTTTCCATCAAAAATAACTGAACCTTTGGTTCAATATATTAAAAATAAAAATGCTTTAGATTTGATTTTGTCCCTAACCTTAACATTATTTGTGCCCATGATTTTAAATATAAAATGTAATTGTTTACGGTAAAGGGGAATATTCTTTTATCAAAACATGTTTTGTGATTGTAAAAATTATACAATTTCAACATACTATTTCTATGACATTTATCTATGAACAGCACAAGCTGAGATCACCCACACTCTGTTGTGACAAAACTAAGTCCATTTAACAAGAAAAGTAGAAAATCCATGATCAAAGTCCTTTTCATTGAAATTTAGCACCAATAATTCAACCCTAATGAGTAAAAGATTAACATAATGACTCTGGATATAAATAAAATATATGACTACCTAAAGAATTTCTTGGGTTTCACTGGATGTATGAGGCAGTCAAAGAGCCTGGTGGCCTCCACAGTGCTGTCATACATATAAGGGAGGTCCTTGGAGGCTGCTGCTGCTGCTGGTGGCTGCTTGAATGGAGTGACAGGTGTCTGGACAGAGAAGTGAATTGTAAGTTTTTATGCATCTTTTTATCATCATGTCATTCATTAACTACATACTACATACTACATACTGCGGTATGTCAAAAGGCAACACCATAATGGATGGATGATTTACGTTAATCAACAGTTTATATGCAGAAACCAGTTTGTGCATCCTTTGCAATCTAGTTATTATATATAGATGACTTGCATCGATTTCTTGCAAACTCAGAGCAGATGCTGGATGCAGATTAGTAGAATATGTAAAAAAATATGTATCTATTTATTCATCTTTGACTCAAAACTATGACAGAAATAATTCTGGAATTTTTCATAAAGTTTTCCAATCTCGGCTTCAATACATGTTCTGACATCTTGGATGACCGAGAATGTGTTGAAAAAAAGTTATAAAATATTCAGTAAGTACACACGCTTTCAAAAACATATTTGAAACCCAAACTGTAACTTTCTATAATTGTATTCATTTGAAAAATCAAATTACCTGCTTTTCAGCTTCAGGAAGAGTTGCGTGACTAACTTTTCTTCTCTTCGAGGGTTGCTCTCCTTTGACCTCACTGACTAGATTTTCTTCTAAGCTGTGCTTCCCTTTAGGGGAAACAACCTTGCCGTCTGACACCTTTGATTTTGGAGACTTGAATTTTGGTGAAGTAGTCTCTTGGCTTTTGGGAGATTTTGGAGATTTGAGCTTTGCTTGAAGGGATTTGGGTTTAGGAGGTTTGGGTGGCTTAGGGGGAAGCTTGTCTGGAAGCAAAGCAAAAAAAAAAAAAATGTCATCTCAAAAATCATCTTCCAAAAAACAGTTATTAGAATATATTTTCAATCTACATCTATCTAAAGCATTACATGTCATGTAACAACAACAACAAAGATTGGGCATATGGATAATGCACTAAACTAACTGTTAAGATAAAAAAGAAAATAAAAGAAGCATTGCCTCATCTCAAGGGCTATAAACAAAGCTTACCCTTCTTTCCAGACCTCAGGCTGACTTGACTTCCAAATGCACTGCTCAGATCCGCCAAGGGGCTATTGATGGCCGTGTCAGGAAGATATGAACCTCTTGTTGGCATGCCATTTTGAAGTTTCTGTAAATTAACAATTTGTATAATTAACAAGAATGAATAATTATGCAAAAGTAAATGCTTAGCCTTGGTCACAAATTAAGTAATTATAAATAAATAAATAAATAAATAAATAAATAAATAAATAAAATGATGAACAAGCAGAAGCAGTTTCATTTCTATGTTCATATGTGCAAATAAATGTTTATTTGTATGCAATTCTGAAGAAGTTTGAAATTTGATTTGAAATCACCAAAAATGTTTTTAAATTAAAAAGTATTTAAATAAAAAAGTGAAATCTTACATCATTCACGATCAAGCAAAGAGGGGAACCAAAATATGCAAAAAAAAATATTTGTAATCAAAACTACATAAAATTACCTTAAACTTCTTTTCCAATTTTTTTCTCTCTTTCTCTTTAGATTTTTTAGATTGAGGTTTTTCAAGCTGAAAGGAAGTTGACAATTTCTCCTTGCTTTTTCCATGTTTGAGATTCTCTGAGAGAGCAGGCATGCTTGTTATACTAAGGAGAGAGGTCTCATGTTGGGAAACTTCAGAAGGAGCCTGTTAAATAAACACATTCATAAATTTATAAATAATTTATAAATACACATATATGATATATGATACAAACAAACAAATAAATATATAAAAACAGTAACATCACTATTTATAACAATCACTAATGGTAATAAAATAATAAATGTATTTAAGCTCGTATGGTTTATGCTAACAAAATATAAAATGTATCTTTGAAAAACTTTAATGTCAAACTAAAAATATGACCCATATTTGATTATGTCTATTCACAAGGTAAAAAACATTCATACAGCTATATATATGAATGAAAAAAAAACTAACCTTTTTGGCTTTAAAAACTGCAAAGGCAGATACTTTCTTCCCTGGATTCATCTCTCTTGCAAAATTATGTTAACAGCAAAGAAAGTGGTTCACTTGCCTTACTGCACTGAAAACTACAAATGGAAAGTTTATTGAAATATGAATTGTAATTTACCCTTTAACGTTATATTACTGTTATAAATTGAATGCAGTGGAACTAATATCACTGACAACGACAATGCTGTTATGTCAATAAATCTGATCTAGACTTTTTTTATAAATGGGTTAAATATACATAAAACTATGATGCACGCTTTAAAAAAGTTCATCAATAAAGTATTAATTTATTAATGAAGAGACTACAGCATTAAACGGACAGCCAGTGCAGTCAGGAAGTTGATCAAGCAGTTACAGTGCTCGGTGCGGTGTATATGAGGTTCTTATAATACTTCTATTACATTGCAGAAGTTTATATTATTAAACTAGTTAATTATTATAAAATAAAATAAAATACCTCTTCACCGGCGGTCTTTAGGTCGATATATCGACAATAAACAAAGTGTAAGTACCTAGACATGTGCACCCGCCGAAATGTCCTCGAAAATAAATAAACTAGCGTCGGTCACAAATTTGCAAACAAGACAAGACAAATTGTATTTATCATTAAAAAGTTAATAAAATAGTTCAGTAATTAACTTTCTTACTGTCAGAGATAAATGGAATATCTAAAAATAAATTATCCAAACAATATTACTCGATAAGAAGATTATATTCTAGACATTGTATGCGTGTCTTCTTGTTATATTTATCTGATGGCAAGTTTGTACCCTTTTTCATTCGTTGGAGATTCCAAGATGGCTTCTAAACAAAAAAGAAAAAGTTGAAGATCATTGGAGTTTTCTTTCCCAAGTGTAAATTTGTAAGTATGTTTTCATCGCCAGAAATGCTATTTAAACTCTGATTTTTCTTTCTCTGCTACTTACAATTTTAATACCTTAAACTAAGGCAACTAACTATTTGTCATAAGAAAACTAATTAGATCGTCAAAGCATTAATCTTTACTTACCCCCAGTATGTGTCCACACAACTTCTCGGTGAATTTTAAAGAGGTTAAAATAAATCTATATAATAAACTCCGGGTGCAGTTGCAGTATTCTCCCCGCCCCCTCTCCCCTCCCCCGCACACATACCCCATAATTTAAAGGCATAACTAAGTCTGAATTTAAATTTGTTTTTCTAAATTAGAAACAATGTGAGGCTTGCATCCCAGCAACTGCTCTGAGTAATGAGACAAACTCTTGAGTCTGTCTTTAGCTTAGTGTGAAGTTTTTTTGATATGCAGAATATATTTAAAAATGTGAAACTTGCATCTGCCTCAAATAATGACAATCACATTATACACATGTAGATGATGATTTCAGGCAAACCACGCTGTGATGCTTGAATAACACAATAGAACTGCCATGTCTAAAAAGAAGCCACCCCTTCACCTCACTGGTGAGAACACAATGGACATTGTACGCGGGAGCTTGGATGAAATCACCAGGACTTCCAGTTCTAAGAAGAGAGCAGGTAGCAGAGTCTCGTTGAATAGTGCTTCATCAGTTACCAGGAGAACTCCAGATGTACAACAGTCTTTGGAATATCTGCCACCAGAGCAGCCAACTTTCAAAGTAAAATATATTTGATTGATATTTTGCTTTATTCAAGAATATATAAAATAACACCTAAGTTTTTTTCAATGGCTTTTTCAAGAGAAGGTATTTGTTTTATTTTATTGAAATAATTAGATCCACAACATTTAAAGTACTAAAATATCATGATGTTATTTTTCATCTTTGATATAAGGGCTTTTATCCATTCATTTTTTCTTACTTAAGGAGTATGACATTGAAGTAGAGGAGTATGACTCTGATGAAGATTCTTATACTGACTACAGCGAACCTCTAAACTATGAAAATGAGCCACAGAAAAGACAAGAAAATGAAAATGCAAAACAGCTTGTTGCAGCAGGTTTGTAAGATGGTTTTATGCAAAGGTTTGAGTAAATTCTTTTATATTTTTATTTCAGATTGTTCTTTGTTATATATTAATAAAACAGGAATCTTGTCTGTAATGTGCAAATAATGATTAAAATTAATTGACACAAAGAAGCACTACAAGCAAATAATGTTGTTTAACAAACAAGTCACTGACACATACCAGTGGATAAGTAACAAGTATTCTGGGCACTAAATTTTGCTTTGCATAGGTCTTTCGCAACTTTCACCACTGCTCTTTTAAATAACTTGCATTATGAATTTATATGACATTCAAGATTTAGGTAAAACACAGCACAATTACCAAGAAGAAGAAATCCCAAGTGATGAAGAAAGGGACATTATTAAGCAGATTAAAGAAGAAATAAGAAGTCAGGTTAAGGAAGAAATGAAGGATGAATTGGCACAATACAGAATCGAAGCTCCACCACCAAAGAATGAAGAAGATAAAGAAGACCTTGAAGATTTAGATCCAAAAATTAAGGAAGCCATTTTAAAAATGAGAAAATATGATAGAATTTTAAAGAAGGTTACAAAGCGGGAAAAAACAGTCAAAAGACAAAGGATTGCCCTCCAAAAACAGTAGGTTGAATGTGAATTGTTTATTTTTAATTTTCAAATTGAAAATTTTACCTGCACTTTCTTTTTTTTCCCATATGATATCTATTATGAACCCAAACTTAATATTTATTTAAATTACATGAATGAGTGAAATATTTTCAGGCTAAGAGATGAACTCAATGAACTTAAGGCAGAGGTGTCAGCAGACGGCAAAAGAGAGACAAAAGATATTTCAGTGAACACTGAAAAATTCCTTGCTTTAGAACCACCTCCAAAGCACAATGAAGGTACTAGGCACATCACTGTGTTGTAAAAGATTCTCCTGTTATTTTAACATTTAAACATGAAAATTAATATTTCTCAGCGAGTCGAATTAAGTTTGCCTTGGACAGTTACAAAAGGACTTGTTTTCATAGATATCTTTGATACATCTTAAGGTGCACATTTTATAGGAAAATTATTGGATGAAACAAACATGTTCTGGAAATGAGACTGGCAGTGTGAAGAAATTTTGGTCAAGATAAGCTGAATTTCAAAAAAGATATTCCAAATGCAAACGTTAAAAAAATTGAAATCTTAAAATCATAAGGTGAACTTTTTGTAATTATCTTTAACACCAGTTCTCTTAAAAGTTAATTTTCTTTGATTGTTAATATTTAGAATTTTACATAAAGTGTGCTATATTTTCTTTCGCCAACCCCTGTCAATTATTTAAAAAATTTTTTTTCGAATTTCAGGAGTGATGGAAGATTCTCCTCCCGTGAGCCCTGTCTTCCCCACCCAGGTGCTGGATCATGAGAGAGAGGGCAAGGCATCAAATACAGGTATTGCCATTACAAATTAATTGATAATGTCTCCCAAAAGCTGTTTGTAATACTCTAAAAGGTAGATTTAAAATATCTGGAAAGATTGTTGACTTCTTGACAGAAAGTACGTTTTTATGATTCACTAAAATTGACAAATCTTGAGAGTCAGAGTATAAAAATGCAAAAAAGTGAGATATTGAGGCAGAACTTTTAAGTGTTTATGTCAATATACAGTAAAGGATATTAATTGAAACAGAGACAGTATAATTTCATGCTTTTAATGATAATATAGTTGAAAGAGCTGTATATAATTTGGCCATCATTGAAATATTCACCATTTCATTGCATACAAAAATTACTCAGATATCCAGAAGTCTCTGGAAGGGGGGGGGACAGATATTGATGGCCCTAAATGCATACAGTTTATTTGAATGCCAACCATATCAGAGTACTAAAGAGTAAAAAACTTCGGATAAAAGTAAAAGGTTCAGAGTCAACACAAATATTCCACAAAAATATTTTTCAAAAGTCTCTTGCCAGCAACTTTAAATATATCTCAGAATTGAAAGAATTATGATTAATTTAAAGGCTGATGTCAGTCTATTAGTTGTAAATAGAAAATAATTCATTATGTGAGCTTAGAGTTTAATAATTCTGCTTCATTGTCAGGAGCAGCAACGGGGACATCAGCTGCTGCTGCCAGTCCAGGATCTGAAAATTCCCAGTCCAGTGGTAAGAAAGGCAAGAAAAAACCAGGAAAAGAAGAGTCAGGAGATGAAAAAGCCAACAAAGATTTCATTAAAAGAAATATTGAGGTTTGTAATTTTAGTACTGTCACTTAATTGTGAATATAAATAACAGATCACCCATTTCAACATTGAAGTTAGTTTGCAACAAGGTTTTTTTAAAAATGGTAAAAACTGAGAGAATGATTGTGTATTTTTTGTGTCAGAGAACTATTCACTGTGAATATTAGTTCAAGCTGAGCACGTACACGTGCGCACGCACGCACGCACACACACACACACACACACACACAGTGAATATGATTTATCTTAAAAGTGTATCCAAAATTCATTAGACCAACTATGTATTGTTGACAGCAAAAAGCTAAGCTGTAATTAATAAAATAGTGAATTAATTAATAGTTCTACTAATAAATAATGAATTCAAAAGTTACCATATACCCACGTCTTTTGGAAAATACTCAATGTTTAACTTTTTCTGCTTTTGCCCTTTTTTATAAAACCCTTCTCAGCTGGCGGGTGATGCTGCTAACATGATAGCAATGACAGATGATGAAAAGGAGAGACTGGAGCTTTTACTGGGGGATCTGGAGACTTTGCCAGAACTTCCTGAAGAGGGTGAAGAGGTGAGGGTTTATTTACAGTGTACTCACTACTTATTTTTCAAGATCTTTAGTTGTGGTAGTGTGTTTATGTGTGTTTGTGCATGTGCATGTGTGTGTGTGTGTGTGTGTGTGTTGGGGGGTGGGTGTTAAACTGTTCAATTAATGGTTTTATTTATTTATCTAGTTAAAATAATCTGAACTTTTTAATAACTGCAATCTTCAATTTGTTCTGTCATTTTTGTTGTTGTCACACATATACTTGAAAATTTGCTTTGGTGTGATTTTAGGCTTTACATTGAAAATCCTTGAAAATTGATTATCATATTGATAATACCAGAACTTTTTTTCAGGCTGTTTCAGACAACCCTTTCCAAATTGTTGTGCAACCAGGAGATGGTTTTCTGCCTGGTAATGAGGACATGAAGGCACTGAAAGCCATTGATGAGAAGCTGAAATCCCTTTTACCTTTTGAGGACTTTCAGTCAATATGTAGCAGCCCTAGATCTCACACTCCACAACAGGTAAAATTCACTGATAGTATTGATGAAATCATTCTTTGTTGTGATATATTTATGTATTATTTCCATTCATTCACTACTTTTGATGCCTCTTCTCCTGGCACCATATCTTTACTTTTAAGTGATTATATTCTTATTCTTTATAATATTTAATCAATTTTTGTATGTAATTAGTTGCTATTAAGATCCAGTATGCATGTTTAAATACAGCTTCAGTCAGGGGAGCAACATCATTATCTATCACCAATGCTTCTGGTGTCTCTGATTAATGAGCAAATTTGCTGCTTTTCCTAGTAACAAAGTAACAAATCATGAACTGTTATGTCCTTTTTTCAGTCTTTTTTCACTCGAACTGGAATCATACATTCAGTTGATTTTGATAACCTGGGTGAGAAGGCTTTGAAGGAAACAAAGGAGCACAGAGAGTTAACTCACAGACTTAAGGACATTGAGATAGAGTTGTCCAGACTTACATCAGCTGTGGATAGAGAGGTAAGAGGCACTGAGGTAGAATTGTTGGGGCTACTGTATGACATGGATAGATAGCTGGGTGAGAGACACTGAGATAAAGTGAACACCAGATGAAAACAAAAAGGTGCATGCTTAGTGTGCACACATGCATTCCTGCATTTGATATGTAAAGCGCTCGAGTCTCTCTCTCTCTCTCTCTCTCTCTCTCTCTCTCTCTCTCTCTCTCTCTCTATATATATATATATATATATATATATATAATATGATATAAAACTGGCACACACTATTCTTTAAATAAATTTAACTATTTGGTTTGTATAGATATAATTGTTCTCTTGTTTAGTCCCTAAAATGTGATTTCCACTTCCAGATATCTTCTCCTGCTTTGTCTGAGGATCAGCTTCAAGACCTTTTAGACCAGTGTTCGCGCACTATGTCAAGGGCCACGGCAGAGACAGAGTCATTAAATAACTCACCAAGGCAAGTTAACTGGGGATTTTTTTTTATTATTTCATTTTAAGAAAGCTTTACACATTTCCGATATGAGCGTCCTTTTATAAAAGAAATATAATACTGATGTTTCAGTTAAAAAATACCCAGCTCATGAAAATTTCTATGACTGTAAAAGGAAGGACCATTTGATTTCTAAACAGCTACACCCTGCCTTTCAGAGGTCTCTAGAATACTTGCCTTTATATTCAACATGCCTCTCCCTCTAAAGATAGAGGTTGAGTTTCTGTAGTGATCTCTGAAACTTGGAGGATAATAGAAACTCACTAGTGATCTCTTAGGGCTCATTCCCATTGAAACTCTTGTTCTACATAGACAAGGGAATCTCACTGAATGCAATCAGATTTCCAACATATACCTTTGTAATCACCAGCTTTTCTGTATTCTACTCAACACCAAGAGGGGAGACTTGTTAATTTTTTAATCTTATTTTATTCAACGAGCATCCCAGCAGAGTTGTATCTGTAGGACAATAGTTACATTCGGAATGAACCCTAAAATTCAACATGCCACCTAACATTTCAAGGTTATTTCTTAGGTCTGTGGTGTCTGCCAAAGAGAACCTGTTGGAAAATCCACCCAAGTTACCAAATGATGTCCTCCAAAAACTACTGGAGGAGGCAAGGAGAGAGCAAGCAAGCAGGCAAGAAGGAACTGCTGGAGATGGAGGTCAGTATGCTGCTCATGTTCTGTAGATTTTGAAAACTGCACTGTGGCCAGGAGCTGTATTCTCGAAGGATTGTAACTTACAAATTCTTGTAACTTTTTCATAAGTCTGATAATTCACGTTAGTTGGTATTCTCGAAGGTTTATAGTTTCAAAGTTTCGAGAATAAGGCCTCATTGTCACAAAGGTTTTTTATCCTAAATTTATGGCAGAAATATTATAGGTTGGAGTAGAATTGCTCAGTAACACAATATCTTTAATGTTTTTATTTTACAAAATGAGTCTAATTACAAATTGCTTTTGTTTAAAAAGGTCTTTTTACATGTTATTATATTATTAAGTGCATCTGTATTTATGACTGTCTTTGCATTATTTCAGAAACATATCAAACGAATGTAGAGCCCATCACAGATGAAGCTATTCAAGAATTATTGCTCAACTCTAGAGCTACTTCACAATCTACAGCAAGATCTAGTAGCACTGCAAGATCTAGCAGTTCAGACTCTGATTCAGATACTGAGAGGGAAGAGACTTTAAGTAGTGAAAACCAAATGAACAGAGGCAGTTATGTGCAAAATTCCCATCAACTAGACACTGAAGGGTCTGCCGGAAATACTAATTCTCAAGAAAACAATACGGACAGTCACTGGAGTTATAATAAATTGAGAAGTGATAAAAACAAGAGCCATAGACATGTTTTGAAAAGCAGTTTCTCTGAGAGTGATGCCACATCGAAAGATTCCTCTAAAACCAATTCCAAACCAGCTGATGGTATGCTACCTAGACCACCAAGCAAGAAGAGATCAGCCCAGTCAAGTAAATCTAGAACATATTCCCCACAAATGAACAGCAGTGAAAACTGAATCACAACCTGTAACATGTCCATTTACTGACAGAGAGCTTTTGTTTGATTCCAGTAGACTGCAAAGATGCCTGCAAATCTTATACATACGTGTATATAACCTTTGACATCACATTGAAAAATTTAGAGTACAAGAAGCCAGTAACATTTTAGAAGGCATTGTTGGGAATTGCAGCTTTTTACATTACTTTGTAGTCGGATCTTAGAGAAGATGTACAGTACGTATACTGTATTGAAATCTAAAGCTTTTTCGTGTGGCATATTGTGCCAAGCCTTGAATTTTGTTGTGTCTGTTTTATCTTTTCTGCAGTAGCATAATCTCATGTCAATGACATGAATTTAATTATCAGACAAAATCCTGTCATCAGTATCATGTTTTGTGATATCGTTATGTTTAGGGACATGACTATGTTATTGAGTTTAGATGTAGAAAAACCTGGCTGGCAAAAGTAATGCTGCATAATAATGTTAACAACTTTGCTTGGTTTTTTTTTTTGGTGTATTCCTAAGTTCTTGATGCTTTTGTCAATTGTATACCACAGCAAAGCCATAACCATACAGAGCTTGGAAAATAATGAGGCAATTAAATGCCAGTTGCTACATGTGAAGGGGGGGGGGGGGGGGGAGTAAGTATGACTCGACCCTTACACCAGTCCTTGAGTGAAATAAATCTCAAGAGAGTTCAAGTTTGCTGCTTTTGCAATCAATCTCTGAATACCATGCACAGAGAACATAGTATTAAAAAAACACAGTTGATCATATACGTACATACAGTACATTATTTCTTGTATGGAATTTACTTGTTTTGACTGTTTTTATAAACATGTTTTAATTCATGCTTTTTTACCATTGTGCATGAGTTCAAGGCAAGTTGTGTCCTGAATAAAATCTGTATTGATTTGATAGGTTTTCTTTCTAATTGCATTTTAGCGAAATGAATGAAAAGCATTTCCTCTGCACAAAATGTACCAAATGATAATGATAAAAATAAACCACTATAAATAAGCTTTCCATTTCCCAGTTCAAAATGCAGATGAACTGGTAAAAGATATGAAAAGCATTTTAACAATAGGGACTAGATATTTATGTTAAAATTTTGGCCTAAGCGCACAGGTACAATAAAGAATACCTTATTAATACTTATTCACACCATAAAATTTTGATGTTCTTGAAATAGACCGTTAGGGATTGTCTTGATTAAAGGTACTAAGAAAATTCAACATCGGTGGCAAGTGTGGCAAACAAATCAAGCAAAACTCAAATTGGTAAGTTAAATGTAAACGTGTATTCATGGGGGAAAAAAGAAAATTACACCTAAAAACAGTAGTCTTAGTGGGCTATAGTTTGTAATGACTGTAATGCAATGATAATTCATCATACTTTCAAGCTTTGCCACTTAATTCAAAAGTTACTTACGTCTAAAAAGCACACTCTGTATTTTAGTACGTTTTTTCTAATAATGAAAAAAGGGAGATTTGAAATTTGGTGTACAGTTAGCCACATGGTTAGGAATAAACTATTTGACAATGTAGAAATCTGGAAAATAAATTAATGGCACTTACATTTGTCTGCAGACCCTGCTATCAGAGGCATATTGCAAATCACAGTTTTGTTACCCGTTATTTTCATAATTCTTATATCTTGCTCTTATTTATAGCTATTTCAAGCTGTCACAATCAAATGGGTATCAGAGTCAGTCAACCAGTAGGACCTGCAGGGGGGTGCCAGAATGGGCACCTGCTAACTAGCATAAAACTGGACATTGAAATGAAGGATAATTCTCCTCCAGAACTGTTCTTTAGATGTTCAGTTTGTGAAATTTCATTTCGAATGACGCCTTGCTCAGAGCTGGACCAGTCAGATCATGCTGCATATGGTGACTATGGTACAAGTACTGGTAGTGCACCAGCTACCTTGACCAGCCTGTGCACTCTAGGACATGAGCCAGAGCAGAGTGTAGAAGGGTTAAGACTGAAGGATGATTCTCAGGGATTGATAAAACCAGAACCAGAGGTGACATGTACTGGTGTGGCCAGTGCCTGCAATAGTGCTGCTGATACTGACAGTGAGTTTGATTCAGATTTGCATGTCAGCAGCTTTGAAATTGAAATGAACAATGATACATTTACATCAGAGAATGTTGGAGATGACATGTCCCATGGAAGTGATGAAGATGAAGGGACATGTAATTCTGCTGATAAAAATTATGGACAGAATGGTGTTCCGGACCAAGGTGACGAACTTTCCAAATGGAAAAGGCAGAGTCGGTATTTTTGTAGTGAATGTGGAACATATTTTACAACACGTAAAAATCTTCTTTCACACATTCATGCAGAGCATAACCCAGTTTTGCCTGAAGAGAGGTCAACTACATGTAAACGCTTGTTGAGGAATGATTCTAGACAGGGTGAACATGCCAGTATATCCAAAAGAACAAAACTACAGGCGAGTCCAGTGCCTCAGTCCCAGATTCCTGGACAGTCTCAGTTTAGGTCTGGGAAAGCTAAAAGATTAAGAAAACTGTCATGTAAATTTTGCAATTCCACCCAGGGCGAGTTGGGAGAATGCACAGTGTGGGGCCACGCCTGCCCCAGAACAGACACCATTGTTTTTATATGTTCAGTGTGCCATGAGTATTATGAAAACTTTGACAGTGTCATGGATTGTGAAAGAAAACACAGGCTTGTAACTACTGCACATGATAAAGAGGAATACAAGTGTATTTTTTGTAACAAAACCTTCCAGGACATGCAACAAACTAAAAGGCATGAAACCTGTCACAGTCAGGTCGACTCGGTAGCTTCATCTGAACTGTCTGAATCAGCCCCTATCCCCAGTGCTCCCAGTTTAAAAGACCTGTATAAACTTAAACAGCAGACTGGCACTGTAACTGCATTTGCCACAAGACTAGTGAAACGGTTATTTTCTAGAGTAGAGATAATTGGAGCTAATATTAATGGTGTTAATGGAAAGAAAAGGTTAAATGCTGAAAAGATTGAAACAATTAAAAGAAGTTTGTGTCAGGCTTTTGGAATGACCAATTATGGCCTAGACCTCGAATGGCCTAAAATAAGATCAGCCATCGATAGTTATTGTCGAGGTTTTTCCAGGAGGGAGAGGCTTAAGCAGAATGAATAACTGATGTGTGTAGCACTTATTCTGGTTTGACTTATCATGGTAATGAACAGAACTTTGTGTAGGTGTAGTGTAAATAGTGACACATTGATAATATTGTAGTAAAATCAAACAAGCATGAGAGATAATGTCATGTTTCAACTGGAATATAACATCACTGGCCTAAAAATTGCCCAAGAGTTATTATTAATTTCCAGTTCTCATTATGCAAAACTGAATATTTACAAATGTACTGGAATGTAATTAAAGCATTAAATTTTTTATAGTATTAAATTGCAAGATGATTGACAGTTTATAATCTGATGTATTTTTCCACTCTTTAATATGGGCAGCCACTGTTTATATGGGCAAAAATGAGATAACAGCCATGTAGTCACCCCATATAATCTGAATAATTCTGATTGACAAATTATTCTTCATATAATTAGGAGCATATTAGTAATACGGTTATTTTAAGGATGCTTGATTGGGTTTATAAAAATTGTGGGTTTTCTTTCAACTAAAAAACTGATCTGTAGGCCAGAGATTATTAAAAAAGATAACTCAGCCTAGAAACCAAGAAAAAAAATCTTACTAAAATGTATTTTAGAACAACCCACCACAATATGTAACTAGACGGCAAAGCTTGCAAATGTACAGACACCATGCAGGAAACAAGCCAGCAAAGCTGTTACATGTTCAGACATTAGGCAGAAAAAAGTGCATAACATGTTTTGGCCAATTTTGATGCACTAATAATGTAAGAGTGATTATGCTATTTTAAAGCATTATCACTCTTACGCTCTTACAATTTGTACTACAGGTAACATGGACATTGAAAAATAGCAAGTGATTCAGTTCCATGGGATATAAAAGCCACTGAAAATGTTAATGTGTGAAAAATGAAAATATCACAAAAAAAGAAGAATTAACGTAAATGTAAACCAATCGTGCCGATTTTCGAAAGCAACCTGCCTCTTAACCAAACAAAGCCACTCAGTAAATTTTAAGTATAACAAAAAAAAGTTATGGGGTGAACGTCACCAAAATTGTGCAAAAAAAAAAAAAAAAAAAAAAAAAAATAACCACCATAAAAGTAAACTGTGCATATCGATTTTCAAAAGCAACCTGCTTCTTTATCAAACAAAGCCACTCTGTAAATTTTAATTAAACAAAAATGCGGTTTGGAAGTTATGGGGCGAACGTTACCAAAATTGTGCAAAAAAAAAAAAAAAAAAAAAAAACGGATAATCAGGGGCGTAGCTAGGGTAAAATAATAAAAGTTTCTCTACTTCTATGGGTAAAATGAAGTGTACGCAACATTTTATAAGCATGTAGATTTTGGGGCCGTAGCCACAAGTCGGCTGCCAGAGGCAGCCGTGGGGTGGGGGTTTGGTGGTCCTCTCCGAAGAACATTTTTAAAAATCCAGCTTAAAATGGTGCATTTAAGAGAATGTGAAGCGAAATATTGGAGCTAAAATATAAAAGGTCAGCCTGTCCACCGCGTGCGTGAGAAATTATGAAACCACAGCTGGGCAGGAGGGGATAATTCATAAAGATCCGTTATTATAAAAATATATTTTGCTTGTGTGCTGTGCGGATGACTTTTTCTACATTTAAAAGACAAAAGTCTGTTATAAATGAGAAAAAAACTACGTTTTATTTGAAAAATCTACATAAAATATTCAAAACGTAAATCTGATAACGGATAGCAATTACAAGAACTTTTTTTTTTTTTTTTTTTTTTTTGCATCTGTATAGCAATTATAATGTTAAAGATGATCGTAGCTGACAGCAGGCATGTCTAATCTAGATCTCGCAGCTTTTGACTTTGTACTTTTTTGCTCTGTTGTCATGTGATACGGCTTTTCAGGTGAGACCCAGTCACCGATGAGTTGTCGTTTCGACCACTGTCATTTACAGTGGAACTGCAAGGGGATGAAGATGTGTTCGAGAAGGACGGAAGGTTTTTCAAGCTCTGTGCTTATTGGAAAATTGTTAAAGTTCCCATTTTTGTTGCATAAAAGTCTAGCGCACATTGTCTTCCTTAAAGAGCGTATAATCTTTGTTTTCGATCTAATTTTATTTCTTTGTTGATGCTTTTTAAATATTCAGGGCCGTAGCCTGAGCAAAATGCCAGGGGGGGCAGTAAGCGGACACGAGGGGGCGAAACTACCGAGGGGGGTGGGTATGGTGTGTAAAATTCCAAATCCCAGGGGGGGCAGCTGCCCCCCCCCCCTGCCCCCCCGGAGGCTACGGCCCTGATATTACACTATTACCGATGTAACGAAACGTGAAAATTATGGTCCGGATAACATTGCTTTTGGGTTGGACCCATCACACAGTATTTGAACAATGTTTGAATTACACTAAGGCTTCGTTCACATGCAATGTCTATTTTCTATTTTCTATTTTCTATTTTCGGTATGTCTTATGATCACGGTCTGTGCACTGAATATCCCGCGGCGTAATTACTGGCAGCGCGAGCCAGTTACTATAAGTTACTATAAGTAACTGGCTCGCGCTGCCAGTAATTACGCGGCGGGATATTCAGTGCACAGACCGTGATCATAAGACATACCGAAAATAGAAAATAGAAAATAGAAAATAGACATTGCATGTGAACGAAGCCTAATAGGCCTACCTATCAAATAACTTGTTCACTGGGTCGTAGGATTAGCCTATAAAACTGCTACTAACTTGAAAAAATACCTATAATATACTGTGGACCTTTTTAGCTTTAAAAACGTGTTTTATATGTGTAACTTTTGTAGAATGTTTAAAACCACATAGCTGTTATGAAAGGCCCATTGCACAAACATGAACATGCAAATAAAGAGGGTCACATTGGGTATTTTCATTATCCGCGAAATCCATTTTTATTTCCCCGAGATGCGTGAAGCGCTTACATTTGGTAAAAATTAAATTTGTCAGGCAGTCGTGGATTTTTGTTCTATACACATATATGTTTTAAAAATTGAATACAACTTTGAATTTATTCAATTATATTTTGGGACACTTCAGCATATGAAATGCACGTCTATATTGGGTTTGGGTGTGGTATGTCTTGGTTAATGGGACGTGAATATCATGTGGCTACTTTTAAATTTGTGTCGGCGAACATCACCCTGAGCTTCAGAGCTAACTTGACACTAACCTTTTCACTGTAGCCTATCTCCATCGTGTCAAGTTACTTGACACGATGGAGATAGGCTACAGTGAAAAGGTTAGTGTCAAGTTAGCTCTGAAGCTCAGGGTGGCGAACATAGACTGATAGAGTACAAACCACAACAAAGCACAACCTTGCAGATTTGCGTTTGTGTTAACCAAGTAGATGCAATATTTAAGTAAGTACTATATGAACAGAATACTGTGTAGATAACATGTATGAACTTGTGCAATTTCCTTTAATAGTACTATATCTAGATGTGGCCAATTTTGTTGGCATTGATTGAGTGTTATTTCATAATACCAGTAGACTACATGTACTGAGTGGGCACGAATGTTTGATCGCACCGTCACATGTAGGACGGGAAGTTGGAGACTCAATCCCCGCCAGTTTGTTATGGTCCAGCTGCTCCAACAAGTCATGGATGGTTTCTTTTATGTCCTCATCCGTGTCCAGACTTACAAAGGAAAGGAATGGCCACTAGAATAAGAATAAGTGCACACAACAGCTGAATCATACCGGTAGCATTGATCCCCCCCCCCCTTGTCCTTTATGTTTCTCATAATGTTTCTCAGTACCTGTATGATGCCTCAGTGTAAGGCCATACTCTTACAGAGGCAAGATTGAGCCTAGAAACTTATTTTGGTTAATCCAAATCTTCAAACAAGATATATATAAAACTACAATATACAGGTACATATACTGTACCTTCCCCCATTTTTATGGGGGAGGGGGGGAGTGCAGCATTCTTTCTTAACAAAGTATTCATATTAGTAAACTTCTTTAACATGTATTCCAGTGTGGAGACATGTACAGCTATGGAATGTTGTAACTTTATGATCAGTATAATAACATTTGATTCACGTGTCATCTTTATGATACTTGGTATCTTTGTCCTTCAGAATCCAATTGTTTTCTCCACCAGTATGGGAATTGACATGAGCAGACCAGCTTCTTCAAGCCAACAGATATGCCAAGAGGGGCACCTGCTGATTCATATGAAGATGGATGTTATAACAAGAGAGGATGGACAACAGACTTTGACTTTAAGGTGTTTTTTATGTGACAGTGTGTTAAGGATGAGTGGCTTCAGTAGATCTGAATTTATTAATCATCCGGTTGTAACTGCTGTGGGTCAAACTTTGCAAAATGGCCAGAAAGCAAATCAAGCAGACACAAACCCTACAGAAAGAGAGTCTAAATTTGATGACTTTGCACATAATTTTATAAAGACAGACTCAGATTTAACCTGTGAAGACTGTGAAGGTAGCATTGGGTTAGACATGCAGGTTGAAAGTTATGAGAGCGGCCAGTTTGATCTTGCCAAACATAACCAAGGAAATATTGCAACAGTTAGTGACCTTTTAAAAAATCCCAACCAGATTGCACCTCTTGCTAATCATACAGCAAAAGCTGGCATCTCATCTGTTCCACAGACTTTTTCTGCCCAGAGAGGATTCAGTGCACCTTCTGGAGTGAGGAAACCAACGTGTAAATTTTGCAATGCAACTGAAGGAGAATTTGAACAAGGTTTAATCTGGGGCCACAACTGTAAAAAGTTGGAAGGCAACATTTTCATCTGTTGCGTCTGCAATGAGTATTACGACAGCTGTAACTTGGTGACAGAATGTGAAAGGAAACACAGACTTATAAAAAACAGTTATAACAAGGAAGAGTTTAAGTGTATGGTCTGTAGTATAAAATTTGCAGATTTAAGGGAAACAAAAAGGCATGAACTTTGTCACAATTCAAATGACTCTGAAGTGCATTTTGGTATCTCTGTGCAGCCTGAATTAAACTCCGACTCCAAATCTCAGGGACCTGAATCAGAAAACCAGCAAACACAGAAGTTGCCATCTATGGCATCATCCACACCATCAAACAACATACAAGTGCCACACCATGAAAACCTGTCATTGACAGTGGGTACACAAATTCTACCACCCATCATCAGTCCACAAGATTTACAACACATAAAATTCAAGTCGCAAAAGCCTGAACAGTTCTGTGTAGCATTAATGGCAAAGATATTTAGTAATGCCGAACGGTTGCAGAATGACACAAATATTTTGGGAACTTTCAATAAAAAGAAATTCTGCCCAGTTCGTATACAGTTCATAAAAGACTGTGTCCATCAAAATTATCCACAGCATTTCCAAAATGAGATGTGCCGGTGGAGAAAATGTGTCGGTGCCATGAACAGTGCTAACAGATCTTTAAGATTTTATAATGCAACAAAGTCTTAGGTTGATGTTTATCAAAAAACAAGGTTGAAAAACCAAAATAGTTAAGAATACTTTACGAGCACCCCATGTGACTGCAGGTATGGAAAACGACCATTTCATCCATTTGTACACACTTTCCCCAGAGAGTGATACATGCATGCTTCACTTTCATTATTATGTACTAGTATTTTTTTATCAGTACCAGTATGACTTTTATCCAAAATTATAATATGCAGGGTTTGACATTAAGGGTTGCATGGTTGCAATTTGCAACCACTTTTTCCACTCATGCAATTAAATCTTGAACAGGAGTTGTCCAACAATGCGACTCATTCAATTTTGAGTATTTTTCATTCATTGTATGTTTTACACTGTGTTTTATGGCATTGGCTCCTCTTGGTAATGTTTACAGTAGTTGTTTGTGTTTATTGTAATATAGCAATAAAATATTTACGTATATATTTTGTTTTCTGTAAACTCTTTTTGTAAAAGAAGCAGAGGAACTGACATAACCTTTTGTTAAAAACTCTTTTTGAATTTGGAGTATCAGTTAAAATGTATTTCACTGCATTCTCGGTAAGCCCCCCCTCTCCCCAAGCAACTTAAAAATTTTTTTTTAAAAGCCAACCCCTGATTAACATAAATAGCAGGAGTGTCTGAAGATATTGCAATCACCTGAGTCTGTCTGCCTTCCTGGACCTGGAACCATATCCAGAATTGTGCATGTCTTTTTACCACAAAAATTAACTGGTAAAACATCCCTTTTGGATAATATTTGCAGGCCATTAATACTAACAAAAATAGACTGCGCCAAAAAGATATTACGATGTCCACGTTTATTTTACTGACACATTCTGTACTTCAAGTATTTTTCTCACAATTCCTGGTAACGTTTGAAAGTTTTTTGCACATTACCTTCTGTGAGAATGCAGTTTTGTCGTGTTTCGTGTTAAACTTTGACTGTGCTCTGTCACCATATCGTCTAGCTAATCATGGGTGTAACTGAATTTAGGACTTAGCTAAAATATTACAAAAAATATTAAATAACTAACAGGGGCAGATCCAGGGATATTTTCTGCCAGCTTTCCAAATTATCTTCGTTGACCCATTCTCCAATGGCCGCCACCCCTGCACGAGCTCACAACATTTACATACATGCATGCATATTGTCAAATGTTTCAAGTGTTTGCCACTTAAGTTGCTGTTGAAAATAAGGTGCTGGTTCCAATGGGGGCTTATTCTAAAAGATCTAAAAAAGATGCATGCACAATATATGTGGAATAAAGCAAACACTCGTGAACAGCTTCAGCCACAGTCCCTCACCTAAAATGAGACATTCCTGTCTGTAATTTGCATAACAATAAGTTGCTCATCGTAGTGCGAGCTGTCTTCCCAAATGTTCACTAAGCAGGAGAACACACTTGGTTGAAGACGCAACAACGTGTGGTGCAGTACTAGTCGCAAGGTCGGGCTTCAACGAGGCAAAGAAGTACATGTACTGAGTATGCATGTGTCGTAAGTATCATTTTTTCTTCAGTAACCTCTGTCAGTAGATAGAAAAACGTAGAAAAATTCAGGGAAATTTACGACAAGTATTTATGTAACGTTTCTTTGTGATATTTTGCCTGTCGTTACTTATATGCCACACAGAATATTAGCTAGTATATTAGTGGATGGGAATATTACAAAGATCACGTACTAATTTAAATGATAATACCGTACTTGTCACAGTTCTGAACTTTTGATCCAAATACAAGTGTGCCCCATCAAAGTGTACGTAAATTCTAGGTCAAATAAAAGTTTATAAAATAATCAACTTCTCCCTTTACGACAATCACGATAATTTAAAAAAGAAATATGAAACCCTTTTGATTTGAATAATCTTATGGTTACTTTTGCCTTTTTGAGGTTTCATTAATTTGAGGTTTTATTAATTTTGAATCAGTTTTTGTATGTTTTTTATTTATACATGTGCCTGTAAAATTGTTTGTAAGTAGTGTTTAAACATGGGGAAATGATTTGCAATAAAGTGAAATATGGCCCCCAAACGCGTGATGCAAGGCGATTTTAGATATTAAAAAATTAAGTAGTGGGTAAGATAAATTAACATCCCTTGTAATAACTTCCACAAATTAAATAAATGCTTGCAATATTTGTTTTTTCAAAGCAAGATATCTCAGATATCTTTAACTTCAGATCTTAATTTTGCCGTAAGGCAACCTCGATATCGATTGCTTTCTAGGGTGCTAATCTGAGCACTGAACATTGGACAAATCAGTACACACCCACATCATTTCAAATGCCCTCTTCTCTTTGATGTAAAATGCATTAGTCGTATTTTCCAAGTCTGCACGTTTAGTCAGATATTGTTATCATTACTTCCTCATTTCAGATGTCCACTGAGTTACTGAGTACTGCACGGCACGCGCCTGCAAGCAAACAAGCCTTTCATTCACGTTCTGGAACCGTACACACATGCATTTATTGTATTAAAAGTGAACAAATACGCTTGTAATTTCCTTGTTATATATATATATATATATATATATATATATATATATATATATATATATATATATATATATATATATATATATATAACTTTAATATGAAATATGACGAGAAAGTATAAATAATAAAGGGGTAAAATTATAAAGGTATGATTAGCGTCTGAGCACTTAATTCATATTTAATCTGCTAAAACTGATCTGCAATTATTGTGTTTGGGATTGATGATTTTTGCAGTAACAGAAGATATTTGTTTTTTATTGAATTGTGAAAAGACAAATTTTGAGACCAATAATTTAATGTCTATTTTTGCATGATAAAATAAATATAATGTGCTCTTCCAAATAGCTAATTGCACTGGCATTATAATGTAATTTTGTGCTGATTTTACATGCACGTGCTCCTCAAATCAAATGGACTCATCCCGCCAAATGTCAAATGGAATGGACTCAACCCACCTGTCACCCCTCAAATCGAATGAACTCACCCCACTACCATCAGCCCTCAAATTCAGTGAACTGGTCCCACCTTACACCCCCTCAAATCGAATGGACTCGACGCACCTGTCACCCCTCTGTTGAAATGGACTCGGCCCACTTATCATCCCTCAAATTGAATGGACTAGCCCCACTTCTCACCCCCTGCCAAAGGAATGGACTCGCCCCACCTGATATCCCTCTAATCGAATGGACCTGCCCTACCCACAACCCTTCAAGTGAAATGGACTTGCGCCACCTGTCACCCCTCAAATCTAATGGGCTTGACCCATTTATCACTCTTTAAAAAGGATTCGTCTCAACTCGCCAACATCAATGTAAACCACACTCCTATCAAATTGTAAAATAAAGTCATTCAAATGTGATATTTATTTATTAAGGGCATTTTTGCGACAGGTAATCGTGATGAAGAAATAAAATAAAGATAAATTTAACACTTTGATTGGCATAGACTCTAGTCAAATAATATGATAAAATATGAATTATTGCATCTTGGGAACCGTGGTTTCGGTTTGCACTGGAACTTGCTACTAAAACTCGCTCTCTTTGTACTAGGAACCAATATCAGCATTCGTGTTCTTACTATAAGAAACCAATATCTCAAATTGTGTCGATCTAAAATAAAAATTCAGAAAAAGGAAATTATGTCAGTTTTTTCATTGACATTTGAAACTATCATTAGTACTGCATATTGTGTATGCATATAGTGCGGTTTACAGGATAGGCCGTACATTTTTAAAAAAATTGAGCAGACATAATACATCTTAAAATTGGCAGATCCAGAATTTATATATTTTGTGACATATTACACTGCATATTTCTAACCTTGATATGAAAACAAAAACAAATTGGTCAATTTCAAAACGTATTAAAATTTTGAAATTCACACTTCAACAGGTCTCAACAGAGAATAGACGGATTTTTACCAAGGTCGCAACGCTAGAACAAACTATTACCTCGAGGTGGCTGACGTGTCCTTTACCCCCGACACCAAATAAAGAGACCAGTGGAGCGCCCAAGGAAAAATGTCGACGAGTTGCCCCTCGGACACCAAATCAAACGCCCTCACAAGACTGATGTAATACTGGACCTTGTCAACGCTCCTTCAAAATGAGGCAAGTACAAACAATACTGTGTGGCGCAGAAGAGGGAAGTTGTGGAGATAACAGCCCTTCATAGCGTTAGGACGATCTCTAGATCTCTCAACAGACCCAAGTCTACCATCAGCACATGGAAGAGGGAACTGGCAAAAGAAGCGAAGAGATCGAAGTCGGCGAGAAAAGAAGGTAATTATACCATTATCAGTGTGGAAATTAAAGCCTACTCTTGCGTTACTTTGCAAACTTTTCTTGTATTATACTCTTTTATGTATTTAATTGAACACGATACTCGAAATAATAACTTGCAATTGAAATTTGCTTCATGAATTTTAGATTTTACCAAATATGAGCGATTTTTTAAATGAAAGAAGCAACAAGCAGTAATAAATGAGATCCTAATGTTTCATATTTACACCTTTTTTTTTCTTTTCTACAAAGGATCTGGTTAGAAACCACTGTTGGGAGAGGACTTCAAAGAGGAGCTGCATACTGATACTTGGATTCTCAGTCAGCGCGAACAGCAGCTGCCCGTCTCCATTGAAAAGTTTTGCTACCACGCTCTTTTACTTGTCGTCAGCAAAGGAATAGAATTTAAGGCATCCAGGGGGTGGGCCAGTCGATTCAGCTCGGCTTGGGGTGTTCTACAACTGTCAGTCAACGACTCCCGGCAGACTTGCAGCACAGGGTGTCCGTCTACCACAGGTACCTTGGAGAGGTGCAGGAAGGGATGGAGTTCGAGTCCAGCTTGGTAATCAACATGGATGAGGTGCCTATGGTCTATGATCTTCTGCCTGCAAAGACATTGCACACAAGAGGCGACAAAGACGTGAAATCATTTCCAGTGGTGCCGAAAAGCAGCGCTTTACTGTTACTGAGACGGGCCAACGCGACCTCAGCCATTATTCTGGGAGGTTGTGCCTCTCTGGCCCAGCATCTGGACGTATCCCTGAACAAGCCGTTCAAGGGGCATTTACAGAGGTTGTGGTCAGAGATTGGGGGGGGGGGGGGAGGGAGCATAGACAAGGTGCAAACAGCTTCTAATGAACAATGGATAAAAGACACATGGTCACAGATTCCCAAGGAAATGATACAAAGTAGTTTTGGTGTCATCGGCATCAATCCAGCACTCAGTGGGTAACCCGAGGACCTGTCCAATTTGGACAGGGATGGGGAGGGGTTCCTCGGGTTTACCCCTGACTACATCAATAACAGAAACCCTTCAAAGACTGCATGTGCACAGAATATCAAACTGACACTAATATGAATTTATGACAAAAACATTTAACGGGTCATACTTTACATTTTTTTTTTATTTATTGGACAAAGATGTGTTAGTGGTGTTGAAACAATGATAACGTTAATATAAAATATAAATGAAATTTTGAAATGTGTAAGTGTCCAATAAAACTGTTATTATTAATTTTATTATTTTGTTATTATTAGTAACAGCGGTCGCACAAATAAACAACTTTTAACTGTCTTTATAACAAATGGTGGATCAAATTTCCTTGGTAAGGATGTAATGAGCAAAACTTAAATAAAAAAGGAAAACAAAAATATCTGAATACGTTAAATAAGAAATTTGATCTACTACAAAAAGCCAAGAAAACAATTGCAAAGGGTGCCTGTCAAGTAAATCTTAAAAAGAGATGTCCAAAGTAACATTTCTCTTTTATTGCAGCTCAGGTTGTTTTTCAAACTCAAACTAATTTTAACTACTTAAAGGTCTAAAGTTTGAGATGAATGTTATTGCATAATCATATTTCGTTTAAATAAAACAATGACAGTCCTAACGGCACAGAAGCAATATCATTCCTCAACTTCACGTCACATTTACAGAATAACTTTAAGCTTTCTTATTTTATGGTTCTAATGAATTTGGTCATTTCACTTCTACTAAAAACGAATCTTTTAAGTCCTTTAAGTCTGTTGAAACGTCTTAAACCCACACAATTACAGTTGCACCTCAATTCAGCAAACATTCAACTTTCAACACCTTACGTGTTCACCATACTGTCCACAGAGCTACGATCTATTTTAAGTTCTACTGGTAGGTTTCTTATTTTGAGTCACTTGCATAATGGTGAAGTTGGTAAGTTGGGTGAAAATAAAGTTTATCATAGGAAACTCACTCCATCAAGTCTTTCACTTTTTTGAGTTTTTTCGAGTTTTTTGCAGAAAAATCTTGAACTGTGCATCTTTAAATCTTAAAGATCTGTTGGCATTGTTCATGGCACCTACACATCGAGACCACGTCTTTCCAGGTTCCTTTTGAAAATGCTTGGGATAATTTTGATGAACACAGTCTTTAATGAACTGTATACAAACTGGACATAATTTTTTCAGTTTTTTTATTCCCAAAACATTTGTGTCCTTCTCTGACCGCTCCACCCTACTAAATATCTTTGCCATTAATGCAACACAGAAACTTTCAGGTTTGAACGACTTATGTTTAATCTCTTCTATTTCTTGTGGACTGATGATAGGTGGTAGAATTTGTGCACCCTGCGTCAATTGCTGGTTTTCGCGGGATGGCACATGTCTGCTGTTTGATGGTGCCGGCAGTGCCATGACTTGAAACTTCTGTGTGTGATGGTTTTCTGTTTCAGGTCCGTGAAATCTTGAGTCGTTTAATTCAGGTTCTAAAGAGGTATCAGAGAGCACTTCAGAATCATTTGAATTGTGACAAAATTCATGCCTTTTTGTTTCTCCTAAATCTGCAAATTTTATGCCACAAACCATACACTTAAACTCTTCCTTGTTGCAATTGTTTTTTATACGTCTGTGTTTGCTTTCACATTCTGTCACAAGGTTACAGCTGCCGTAATATTCATTGCAGACAGAACAGATGAAAAGTATGCTTTTTAATTTCTTACACATGTGGCCCCATATAAAACTTTCTCCAAACTCTCCTTCAGTTGATTTGCAAAATTTACATAGTGGTTCTTCAAATCCAGAAGGTGCATTGGATCTTCTTGTGTCAGAAATAATCTGTTGAACAGATGAAGTACCAGCTTCTTCTGTATTGTTAGCCAAAGGCAGCACCTGGTTAGATTTTGCTGCACTATTTGCTTGATTATTATTGCCAAGATCAAGCTGGATTTCCTCATAACTTTCAACATGCATATCTAAGCCAATGTCATCTTCATATTTTCCCTCAGTAGAAACTAATTCTGTCTTTATTGCAAAGTTGTCAAAACTAGACTCTCTTTCTAGAATGTTGGTGTCTGTTTGATTTGTTTCCTGGCTATTTTGCAAAGTTTGGCCTGCAGCAGTTACTACTGAATGATTGATGAGTTCAGATCTACTGACATCACTCATCCTTAACACACTTTCACATAAAGAACACCTTAAAGTCAAAGTCTGTTGTCCACCCTCTCTTGTTATAACATCCATCTTCATATGGATCAGCAGGTGCCCACCTTGGCATGTCTGTTGGTTTGGAGAAGGTCTGCTCATGTCAATACCCATACTGTTGGAAATACCAATGAATTCTGAAAGATAATGATGACAAAATATTGTAAACATGAAAAAATAAAGTATAAGTGAAATTTCACAAAAGAGACTGAAAGTTCTGAAAGGTACAGCTTCAATTTAGTGTAAAAAAACTAAAAGTTAATTCTTGACCGCACAGATAAATTTCTATCAAAATATGAAATAATATGTTGTTCTTTTGTTTCTTCCAGTGATCATGAAGCCATGACCAATGTGGTATATACACAGTGTCAGTCTCCACACAAATATACTCATGGGGATTTGACTTGTGACAATTGCTTGTCCTCTATCAAAACCAGGGGGGCGTCTCGATAGTCCGAAGGTTCATTGGTCCGAAGGTTCATTGGTCCGAAAAGTGGTAACATTTTCATCGATTTTTTAATCAAGGGTTCATTGATCCGAAGGTTCTATAGTGAATATTCGGACCAATGAACCTTCGGACTATTGAACCTTCGGACTATTGCTACGGCCCCAAAACCAGTAGTTTTATTATTTACTACCCCCATCTTGAGATACATTGTAATGTCAAATAATGGTCTACCAGTATACAAAAAAGGGTCCTAACAGTTGATTCACATCAACTAATCAGACATTAAAATATTACACTCCAATTATACGTTTTCTGCTTCATAATTTATGTCCTGACAGATATTGTTGTAAATACCAGTAACTGCATGTAAATGGCAGTGAGCAAGCGCGTCCACGGTTCACCCTTATGCACTAGACTCTCCAATCTTTTTCTTTATGTAGTACTTCTAACTCTTAAGTCGTATGCTGCAAAAAAGCCAAGCAGTTTTGTTGTTGACAGCATTGTGAATAAGGCAAAATGTAGCAAACCGTCCACCAGTTATTGGGTGTTATGAAATGATACACCTATGCCTATGGAAGACTACCACCATGTGCATTTCAGATATAATTTTAACTGTGCCCTTTTAGAACACTCGTTAAAATGCTGTTACTTACTTACTTTTAAATTGTAGCGTCTCAGTGCACTTTTGCCAAAAAATCTCAAGGAACAAGTGGGAATGTCATTGATAGTGCATGTACCACTTGTTTGTTGCTTTCATTGGTGATTTGGTTTGCACTCCATGTCCGCCGTCACGAATTGAAAAAAAAAATAGCCACCGATAAAATGTCCCCAATATCAAGATAAGACAAACGGTAACTATAAGGTAGGAATTTTATTTGTTGATTATAGCTCAGCAATCAATGGCATTATTCCAGGAAATTTGTATTTAAAACATTTTAATGATCGTAAGTTTCCAATATGTCGAAGTGATTGGTCTTAACTTGTGGGACACGATAGTTTTTTAAAAACAGTGGTGATAGTTTTAATACGATGTCTACATGTGCCACGGCTGACAGTTTCCAATGTATATATTTTAATTTTTACTTAGCAACTCTAGACTTTGTTTTTTAAGGATAGTAAACTATTTTTTACATAGCTTTTCTCTTTTAGACATTTTTAATAGAACGATGCTTTTATGGCTCTATTCCCATAGATTTTAGATCGATCTATCCCCGCGGGGAGTCTCACTAGATTACTTTCAGATAATCCGACTTAAATGTCCGTCCCGCCTACTACAAGCTGTAATGAGGTAATTAACTTTCGTGTCCGCCCGGCTAACAGCTATTTAGCATGAACCCCCAGGGAGTTAGGTCGATCTAAAGTAGGTCGATCTAATCTATGGAAATGGGGTGTATGAAGCAGTTTATTCTCGATATTGAATATTTTATAGGCTTAATAAACATGGATCTTATATATATATATATATATATATATATATATATATATATATATATATATATATATA